GTTCATGTTGCTACGGTCTGCAGTCTGGACGTTAGATTTCGCTGAAAATTACACACTGTAGCTTTAAGTAATAAGTAAAATATATAACCACAATAAAATAAAACCAAAAACGCAAAAGAAACGAAAGAAGCTATCCCCACATAATAGGTGACCCGCAATCATCTTCCAAGACAAAATGTGTCGCTGTGATAAAATGTAATACTTTAAAAATAACCCAAACAGTGCTGCACCACCATGGTTGTTTCAAGAAACAAAAGTTAACTTGAAAATAAATGAAATGAAAAGAGAATGGAAACATAATGAAGTTGGGGTTAAAACTAGCATATGTATTAAACAATTGTATTATAGTTATTTAAAAATTTACACAGATAGTTCAAAATATTCAAAGTGAAATGTGGGAATAGGGATATTCATTCAAGAGTTTAATATATGTATATGTAAAAGATTAACAGACCTTTTTTCTATATACACAACAGAAATGTTAGCAATTATTATTAGTTGACAGTGGGTGGAGGAGGTTAGACCGGACAGGGTGGTGATTTGCACATTCTAAAGCTGCAATAGAAAGCATTCATTCAGGAGGAAATAATAGGAAAGACCTTGTACTAGAAATTCATCAGAGTTTTTAGATTATTTAGGTATGAAATAGATGTTCAGTTCTGTTGAGTTCCAGCACACAAAGGGGTGAGAGGAAATTAAATAGCAGACAAGTTAGCTAAAAGGCTTTAGGAAAGCAGAATATACATCAGATTCCATTTGGGAAAGGGGAAGGTAAATCAGTAATCAAAAAGAAAGAAAGAGAATTATGGCAAAAAACATGGGATGAAGATTATATAGGGTTCAACAATCTGCAATTGTTAAAAATTATGGAGAAAGAAGCAATAATTTATACTAGATTAAGAACTGGACTTACTTACTTGAATGAGTTTTTGTTTGGACTAGGGAAGAGAAATAATAATATATGTGAGGGTTGTGAAAGAAAAGAAAATTTGGATCATGTTTTGATGGATTGCATTAAATATGCAACTGAAAGAGAGAGGATGAGGAAAATAATTATGGAAAAAGGGAGAGAATGGAGTATTAAAGGAATTTCAGGGACAGGTGGAGACAGGGAGGAAAATTTGGTTATTTATAAAGCATTGTTTTTATTTTTACATAACACAAAAATAAAAAATATAATATATAGTAGGTGGAACTATGTATTTTGTTTTCAAAACGAAAGAGAAGGAGGAAGTAAAAAGAAAGATTTTTTTTTAGTTTCATGGTTGAAGTGATCAATTGTAGTGCAGAGACGACAAGAAAAGCCAAAATCAAAGTAATAGTGAAAGCTGCAGAAAAGTATCTTGAAGTTAAAGATTTAAATTAGGAAATGGTTGAAAGCATGATAGGAAAACCAATAAGACCATCAGAAACTGGCAGAGTGACGATAACTTAAAGATAAATGAGAAATTATGAGGGCAAATGTGACTGCTGGAGATAGGCACCAGCACCCCTCGCGACCCCAATTGGGACAAGCGTGTAAGATAATGGATGGATGGATGGATGGATGGAGGGCAAATGTGATTAAGTATTTATTATGTTTGGTTAGTGAGTCGTTTCCTGTTTCCTAGCTTAACTCCTTATCAGTTATTTTTTAACAAAAAAAATATTTACATTTTCAAGTAGGAATCACCGCATTTGTTTCTTACATAAAAAAAGAAGACAAGATATATTATAAACTTAAATATTGCCAAGCAACTCCTTATCAGTTGGTGGCGGAAAAGCGCTTTTCAACAGTTTGCCAACCGCCATAAAAGCTCACAAGAAGAAGAAGAAGAAGGAGGAGCGTGGCTACTTTACTGTGAGCAGGAGGAGGGATCGTTTATTGCAACCCGATTAAGTGAGGGAGAACTCAGCAATAACCATGCCGATGTTCGTGGTGAACACCAATGTGGCCAAGAGCGACGTCCCTGCGGCGCTGCTGTCTGAGGCCACGGAGGAGCTGGCTAAAGCGATGGGGAAACCAGTGCAGGTAGGCCCGGCTGGGGGTCACCGGTGCTGCAGGGTCCCAGTGAGCCCGCATGATATGTAAACGCTTCCGTTTTCTACGTTGATTAAACTTACTTTTGATGCCATGTGATTTGCAGAAGTCATATTTCATACTAACATGTGCAGTTATTTTCCTGTGTGAAACTATGCAAACATGGCCGGAACCGATGAATGATTAACCAAAGAGGGCACTTTATTTAAAGCAATGCTGATATGATTAAATCAAAATCTTTGTTTTTAAGGTCTCAATTGCTGAGATTTAAGTACAAAAGAAAAAAAAAAAAAAAAAAGAAATTATTACATTATTGGCTCATGCTACAACTGCAAGTCAGCAGCCAACACCAATATCCCGAGTTATTTGTTCCCATTTACTTATTAAAATGTTGAATAATGGAATATTTTAGACTTTATTTTGGAAAAACTATTTTCATCGCTTTAAATGTCCTTTATTTTTCTTTAGTTTCTATATCCATTGTTTTTCTACATCATTTTCTATGTATTTTGTATATTTTGAACGATCTACACCTGGGTGAAGTCTAAACAATTGGCAACAATATTCACCCATATTAATTATATCTGTAGGTATAAGAGGTTAGTATGTTTATATATTTATTTGTTTGTTTTTTGTTCACTTTCATATTCTTTTGAACAATTTCTGTGAGTTTTAGCATAGAAATCATAAAGTTTTATTGGCTCATAGACTGTCACAGCACTTAACTTGAATTGCATGAATTTTAGGCCCTTCAGTTTCACAATTATTTATATTGTGAAGATTGTTGCATTTTGTGATCATTGTGCAGCCTTATCTGAAATGTCTAGAAGACATAAAAAAATAAATAAATAAATAAAAAGTCGTAAGAAACCATTAACCAATGTCAACAGAAATTTGAATAAAACCTGCAATGCGACTTCTCTATCTAACACTAATCAATTTGATCTGACTGTTATTTTTTTGCCAATGTATTGTTTACACCAGTATATTGCTGTGCACATCAACCCAGACCAAATGATGATGTTTGGAGGAAAGGGAGACCCCTGTGCACTCTGCTCCCTCCACAGCATCGGCAAGATCAGTGGCGCTCACAACAAGCAGTACTCTAAACTCCTGTGTGGACTGCTCAACAAACACCTGGGTGTCTCTCCTGACAGGTAACAAAAGCATTGAGTTATTTGACATTAAACATTAAAGTCAGTTCCCTTTGACCCGTTTTCCCATTTTTGTCATTTCAGGATTTACATAAATTTTGTGGACATGGATGCAGCCAATGTGGCCTGGAACAGCACCACGTTTGGCTGAGTTTGAAATCAACGCTCTCAAACAAACTACCATTCCAACATTCTCCTTCGTTACAAACCTAGTCAAGTGATGAAATAAAGAACAGAGACCCTCAGAAACACATTAGTACTTTCAGAATATAATAGGCTTGCCTAAAAATTACTTAACTGGACCCCTTTCCTTTGCACTAAGTCTTTACCATTCGGTTAAATAAATAAAATCCTGTAAATCATAAATGAGATTGTGTTTGCTTTGATTGTCTCTACATTTCAGAAGAAAAACACGAGAGATAACTGCAGAAAGAAGGCTCCATGTTCGATTACCAGCCCGGAGTCTTTCTGCATGGAGTTTGCATGTTCTCCCTGAGCATGCATGGGTTCTCTCTGGGTACTCCGGCTTCCTCCCACAGTCCAAAATATAACTTAGTTTAATTAGCTTCTTTAAATTCTCCTTGGAGTGAGTGCGTGCATGACTGGTTGTTTGTCTATGTTGCCCTGCAATGGACTGGCGACCTGTCCAGGGTGTACCCCACCTCTCGCCTGTAGTCAGCTGGAGATAGGCACCAGCAGCCTTCGCGACCCTCCAAGTAAGCATTGACAATGTGTCAAACACAACTACGCATTGATTTTGTGTGAATATAAGCCATTCAGCCACTTGTCCAATTTGAGCTGGTGCTCATCGCTTATTTCCCATTTGCTGAGAAGCAGTCAAGTATGGCAGGCTGTATTGACATTTATTAGCTAGACTGAATATGTAATCCAGATGTTTCAAATGATTTTCTTCCTTGTCAAAATTAACATTTTAGATATCTGAAATGTAATTCTTACTAGTAAAAATTACACATGAATACACAGATAAGCCCAATTAACATTATTCCTATCTAAAACCTTCTTCCTATCTAAAAATGAATTCTTGTGAGGCTGAAATCTAATTTCAAATCTCCATATTAGAGCATTCAAATTGATTCAAAAGATTTCTATCTTAGGAAAACCAGTGGATGACTTATTGACTCAAAAGCAATTCCTCACACCAAACTTGCTTATAGCGACAGTGGAGAGGAAAAACACCCTTTTAACAGGAAGAAACCTCCAGCAGAACCAGGCAAGGTGTAAGCGGCCATCTGCCGAGACCGACTGGGGTTCAAGTAGACAGACGCAGACATACAGAAAAAAGCAGAGATACAAAGTGCTGATGAAGATTCTCAGTCATCCAGGTCATAGTCATTCCGTAAAAATTAAAAAAATATCCACTGGACTTGGTTTCCAAGATTTGAAGACGCTTCACCACCTCTCCTGGGAGCTTTCTCAATTCAAATGTCTTGCGAGCATGTTTCCAAGTGATACAAGGCTGTGTCTATATAAGACTCAAACTCACTGCAGATCCAGACATTGGAATTGAGAAAGCTCCCTGGATAGGTGGCGAAACGTCTTCAAATCTTGGAAACCAGTGGATATTTTTAGAATTTTTATGGAACAGAGATACAAACCGACATCTCCCATGTCAGAGGACGGACAGAGCACATCCAGCCGAGCATATCCAGCCAGACACAGTCAGGGAGACGGGAGTTCACTTAACAATGGGCAGAGGTCAAACATCTATAAACAAAGGTGTTGATGGGAGCAGCACAGCTGATATTTCTCTCCAGGATGGAGTCACAGCCAAACTGGACCAGACGAGATGAAGCTACTATGAGAAAAAGCAGAGAGAATTATTTTCAGATATTGAACTAACAGGTTCTGCCGAGTGGGAGAATAGAGATAGAATGATGAAAAGGGGTCCCTATGTCCTAAAGGAGTCTAAGCCTATTGCAGCATAACTATAGAGATAGCTCAGGATAACCTGAGCTACTCTAACTTTACACCTTATCAAAAAGGAAAGTTTTAAGCCTAACCTTAAAAATAGACAGAAAAAAGACAAAAACTATAACTAAAAGATCTGCAATCACCTCCCACTCTACTTTTAGAAATTCTAGGAACCACTAGTAAACCTGCAGATTGAGAACGAAGTGCTCTGTTAGGAAAATAAGAAACAATTAGATATCTGATGTAAGACGTACCTCGGCCTTTTGAAGGATTTATATGTGAGAAGGAGGATTTAAAATTCTATTCTGGCTTTAACAGAGAGCCAATGAAGAAAAGCTAGGATAGGGGAGATGTAATCTCTTTTTAATTTTCATCAGAACACTGGCTGCAGGCTTTTAACTACAGTTTCTTAACATAAAAAATCTGAATCATTGCAAGAGGAGCTGAAAAGTTTTTGGGACTCGTAGAAGTTAGTTGGGAAAGCCATGCTACATGGTTGGAGATGGAGGAAAGAACAGGAGCATCTGGATCTTAAAAGTTTAGGATATTAAGAATCAAGAATCAAGTTTAGTTTATTGCCAAGTAGGTTTGCATTTACAAGGAATTTGACTTGGTGTTGTTAGTGCAGACAAAAAACAAAAAAACAAATAAAAAAAACAAACCAACAACAACAAAACAAAATAAGATAGAAGATAAAGATACAAATGATAAATAGTGATTATATTAGATAAAGATGTAGGATATTGATTTCTTATATTATAGATGTAAAGTATATACATTTATTGGTTAATATGCTGTCATTTTCCCCCCCACAATCTATACCAGTAGATGGCGTTAATACATACTCAAATTGTTTGAACGAAGAAGAAGAAGAAGAAGCTCCAGAGACGTCATTGCGATAGTCGGCGGGAAAAAGTCAGTTTGGGCCATCGTTCCATCTACTTCGACTTGTTTACCTTACTTTCACTGACACAAAAAAAAACCCTCCCATCCCGTAGGTGAGCCAAGGCTAGCTTCAAACGCATCCTGTCTCCCGGTGAATTCTTGAACGACTATTACCGGTTGCTTTGGTAACCACGGTGCTGCCCACTGATCTCTATGATGGCTGGATTATGCTAATGCTAGTTTATCCGAATGCTAGGCCGTAGCTATCACATTGATAGTATATTTAACTTGCATCTTAGATTCTGAATAATATTGATATGAGGCTTCAATGTGTTGGAGTGGATTACGAAACGCGGTATGTTGTGTATATCTTCGTCGGTTTTAGACAGAAATATGGCGGACGATGATCATGTTTCCTCGTTTAGGTTATCAAAGTAACTAGAGGCTGATGTTGTGAAAGTTGCCTATGAGGCAAAGTTTAGTAAATCATATTTTTGGTCAAAACTAACAGCATCTGTCCCCCCTTCTTTGTAACGTTTGCTTCTTTTGATGCTTCTAGTTAAGTATCTTTATTTTAAAAAGGAAGTCATGTCTGTTTCCAGTTACAACAAACCCAGCCTACTTTAGAGACGGATAAAAAATAATCAAATCTCTGGGTATAGTTCTTTACCTAATTAGGTAAAAAAGTATTTTCTAACTTTAACATGTGGTATCAGTATTGCTTGTACAGTTGGAAGTTGCTTTATGATAAATAATGCAGAATCATAATAAAACAAAGAAAATATAATTTGCTGTGTTTTCTGTTACTCTTCAAGTCCAGCTCTACAGGTTCTGTAGGATTAAACAAACTAACTGATGGCATTAACTTACATACAATATATTATTATTATATGTACTGGCATTACTTAACACACTTGGGGATATTATAAAGGGATTATTAAGACAAATTGGTTTCTGTTTATCGAAGGCTAATCTTCCACAATCATTTGCAGAAATCCTTGGTAGTATAGTGGAATGATTGTTTATTTTAAATCTGTCAGATTTTTTTAGCATTAAAATTCCAACACCTGAGTTGCACAAGTTCACGTTATTGTGCATGGAAGGAAAACTGTTACTTATTCTTGAATTTTGGTTAAATAGAGGTGTTTGGACTCACCAAATTTGAAAGGATGCAATCAAGAGCTATCTAAATAATTTTGCATAAGCTGTTTATTTTGTTGTTCCCATGATAGCGAGTTTCTTATTCTGTTTTATTGCACTGTTGTGTGCTCTGAACAGGTTGTTTCAACATGCTGGTGAAATAACAGCATTGTGCATCATTTACTGTACATGGCATGATTGATATTACAAAATTAAACCATAGAAAATCCATTTTTGTTTTGAAGACAACCTTAACCTGATTATGTGTTCTTGTGTTTAACCAATCAGGACTCCCACAACCTCTCACTGTAATTAAAGGTTGATCATCTCCAATCATGTCCGACCATCTGATGCGAGGTGTCCAGGTCCAGCTGACCACAGCGATGGACAATGTCTTGAGGACGACCGTGTTTGAAGTCATGAGGATTTTTGAAAGCGCGTTCCATGACCATAAAATGGAGTTGGTGCAGAAGGGAGAAGAGATTGCTCAGCTCAAAGTAAAGCTACAAACTGCAGAGCTTAGGATAAAAGACTTTGAGGTGCACAATAAAAGAGGAGCAGAGAAAAGTAAAACTCAGACGGAGCCAGAAGTTGTTTCAGATTTCCCAGAGCAGTTTACAGTTGTCCCTGAGGTTGATGCTGAAGGTATATAAAGTTTTTTTTTTTTTTTTTTTTACCTCAAGTAATCTAAATATTTACTACAGTGGAGGTTGAACATGCTTTCTATGTTTGTTTTTGCACAGTGCCTGATGACTGGTGTGCTCCACTTTGCGATGATACAGCGACCAAGCCAGAGGAGGGTTTTTGTCCCAGCGTAAGGCTGCGACAGTTTTCCATTCCTCTGTACCCTGTCCCACTTCTTAAGTACGAGGTGTGTAGATGAATGGGGAAGTTTTTGTTCACTGAAGTCTGCTAGTTTCATCTTTACTCTTTTTGCATGTGAGGCTGGGTTGGTTGGTTCAAAGAAGTTACCAGTTGGAAAATTTTAAGATTTGTCTAAGAATTTGGAGAGTGTAACCTCTGGCAAAAATTGTGGAATCTCCAGCCTCAGAGGATGTTCATTCAGTTGTTTAATTTTGTAGAAAAAAAGCAGATCACAGACATGATGCAAATATAAAGACATTTCAAATAGCAACTGTCTAGCTTTAAGAAACACTAAAAGAAATCAGGAAAAAAAATATGGTCGTCAGTAACGGTTACTTTTTTAGACCAAGCAGAGGGAAAAAAATTATGGAATCGCTCAATTCAGGGGAGAAAAAAATGAAATCATAAAAAACAAAAGAACACGTCAAGACATCACTCGTATTTTTTTGTACCACCTCTGGCTTTTATAACATTGCAGTCTCTGAGGAATGGACTTAATGAGTCACAAACAGTACTCTTCATCAGTCTGTTTGATTGCTGTTCATAGATCAGCTTTGCAGTTTGGAGCCTTGTCATGGACCATTATCTTCATTCTATTCCTGTCATGTCTATGATCTGCTTTTTTTCTACAAAATTGAACAAATGAATGAACATCCTCTGAGGCTGCTGATTCCATCATTTTTGTGGAGGCTGATATACTGATGGACATGGTGCCTATAGTAGAGAAGCCTGGCTTCCTTCGCATCATAAAAGTGTGTGATCCAAAATGTGGCCCGCTGAGTCGTAAACACTTTGCGGATGTTGCGCTACCAAAACTTCACAATGAAACACGACAAGCGCTCTGTGAAAAATTGGAATCTGCTTTGTTATTTACAACTACTGCAAATCTTAAGTCCACTCGATCTCTTCAGCCGTCATGAGAATCAGACTTTTTTCTTGCACCTGTGTTGAATATATTGGTGTACATTTTTAACTGATAAAAAATCAGTACAATTATTGTTGGGTGAACATTTATGTTACTTGCACAAGATTTATGTTAAGAATATGGATGTTTAATTTTTTTTTAACCAATCATTTATTGTTGACTAAATATTTGTTACTTTGCCCAATATATTTCTGAATAATATTTTAAAATCGATTTTAAAATCGTAATTGTCCAAGATGACAAAAAAAAAATCGAGATTTTATTTTTTAGCAATATCGCCCAGCCCTAGGCAGACATTAGGTAAAAATATCCCAAGTTACTGTCAGATCTACTCTTTTATTTATTTTGTTCCTTTTAGCTCCAAATTAAATTGCTTTGAGTGAATAACACTGGATCCATTTAACGTAGCAAAAAGTGTTGTTATCTGAATGCTTGATTGTAATGCAAAACAATTGACTTTTAATTTTTTCTCCTTAGCATTTATACTCTGTCAGACATGGAGCCAGAGTCAACCTTGGCAAACAGGTAAAACATGACATTAACCCAGTTTCTAACCTGAACTATTTGTGCAGTGTGAACGCTGCTTCTAAATATGGGTGACAACACTGAGAAAACTAATGGAGAAAGTTGCCGAATTCCTCACATATTCACAAAGTGTATAAATCCATCCTTCTCAGACCTGCAACTGACATCAGTCCAAGTTTGGTCCAACAATAATTTACAGCTGACATTAAGTATACAGATCAGCCTCTTGCACTACATGCAAATTATTGTGGAGTCTCACATCGTTGACTAAACAACAAACCAGCTAAACAGCTGAACAACCTTAATGTTCAGGTAGCATTACTGAAATTTAACCAAGTGATTTGTGTATTTTCTTGCTAACACTTAATGAGCCTTATTGTGTCTTGACTAAGAAGTAAGGAAAAATAATCAGCGACTTTACATATTGCAGCAACAATGAAAACTGTTAAGTAAAGTACAACGCCTTTTGTTAATTCTAGTCAACGGCAAGAAACCAAGGGGAGGTGGTCTTACTTTGTAACCTGGTACAGATTCATTTTGAATAGAGGGGAAATATCTTAACCGTCCCGCTTTGGGGGGACATCAGAGTGGGACAGTGGCAAAACAAGTAAACAGAAGAAAGGGCACAGGTACATATAAGATTGAATAATAGAAAGTTCTAGAAGTTAGCAACAAACAAGCAAAACACTATGTGGTTATTAATGAAATCTCATACTTGAGTAAAAATACAAAATGTTCATAAAACAAAAAACAAAAAAAGCAGCCAGTTTATGGCATGATGAAAAAAAAAGAAGACTAATGACTATAAGCCTATCAGCTCCCACTGGCCCCGAGCACCTCTGAAGCCAATAGGAGGGTGTCTGTCCCCAAGGCCTTTTAAATGCTAAGCATCAATTTGAATTTAAACCCCATGATATACACAGATGTCAGTGCCAGGTCTGAACATGCAGAGAGTTGTGTTTAATCATGGTAAAACCCACAGTTCTCCCTATTTTCTATAGATAATGTGTTGCTCTTTAGGAATATAATGAGTCATTAAATTTTTTAGGTTGACATGGGAGCCATAACCCTGGGGAGAAATCTAGGAACCAGGAGATCCACAAGAAGTAAGTTGGTTTATGAACGGTTTTGTCCTTTGGGAAATCCTACCATTCCTTATGAATGAGCAGAGCTTTTCATTAATAAACACAGAAAATTCTGTTGGCTTTAGCATGAGCTGACAGGACCTGACCTCACACTCCTTATAGACTTTATCAATGAATGGTTGCTGGACAACCTTTAAACGATGATTATTATGATTATTAGCCATAATGAAGACTTATCAGTTCCAAACTCCATTTCCAAAAATCAGAAATAAATGCTTGGGAAAAAAATCAAGTGTAATAGCATGTGTTTTACATAAATTTCACTTTCTAAATTTAAGACATTTTACATTGAAATTGAAGAGATGAAAAAGCAAAGCAATAATTTTTAAGGTAGTCAAACCGCGTCTGTTTTTTTGGAATACTGCACAGAAAATGAACTCAATTATTTCACCAGCAGCTTTATTGCTATCTGTCATGCTCTCTATAGACTAAAGAGCCGTTCGGACAGTTTGTCCTTTTCCTGGATAGGTGTCAAGGTTTACATAATTGGCATGAACAGGATGACTGAGAATTAGCAAAGACAACATAAAAAAAAAATAAAAAAAACTTGATTCAGCCTTTTCCAGACAAAATCATGATTTTATTTTTTACAGATGCATTTCTGTAACATTTTTCACGAAATGATTGACATTGTCTCCATGATGTCATCTTTCGATTCATCAGCCTCATGAAATTTTGAGTAGGACACAGTCACTAGTGTGTTTGTGTTTGTATTTCATTTAAGCCGTACTTTAAAAACATGCTGCATGAAATAACAGTTTTCTCTTTATCGAGTCTGTCTATTCATAACCGCCTTGCTGTAACGGTTTAGGTGAGGGCGAAAAAGCTGAGGGTTTTTATGCAGGTTAGATTTTCAGGTTAACCGTACCTGATCTTATTTTTTGGAAGTTAATTTCTCCCTTTTATTTACCATATTGTTAAATATAGAAAAGATAAATCATTTAAGACAAGTCAGTTCACTAAATTCATGCCACAGCATTATATAATACTCTTCTTTGTTCTTCCCAGGTTCTACACGAAAAGAAAAGGAAAAGCCCTCCCAAGATAAAGACCTAGCCGTATGTCACCAAAGCAATCGCCCTCCAAAACTAAGTGGTGACCTCAAAAGATTATTCCAAGGTCTCAACACGAATTACTGCAACCTTAAAAGTTTGGGCCGTCTACGGAAAAGGAAGAGTGAGGGATCTTTTGGTGATGAAGAACAAAAAGAAAAGAAAGAGAAAGAGGACTTATCAGAGCAGAAAAATGAGGAGAAACCAAAAGAATCCGAACCAAGTGAATCCAAGGCAGCCATTCTGCAGTCAGTGAGAATGCAGAGCAAAGAAGCATTCTCCTGTGGAAGGTGCAAAAAGTCATATCCAACAAAACCTGGCCTGCTTGTACATTTGCATGCTCAGGTGAGTTGCGGGGGTTGCAACATGGTCTTTTGCTTCCAAGAGGCTCTTGACTACCATATACGATTTTGTGAAAAGCACCAGGCATTGATAAAAAGAAATCACAAAGAAGATGAAAAGATGGTTACTGGTGAAGGAAATGTACTTAATTCCAGCAAAGTGATCATAAAAGAAGAGAGGCCGAGTTCTTCTGCTGTTAAAAGCAACACATCCCGCGAAGAGTATTCCTGCAAACACTGCGTCTTCAAGACTAAAAATACCGGCAAATGGAGAAAGCACATGAAAATTCATGGTGGGAGGATGATAACTTGCAGACTGTGTCCAAGGAAGTTCTCTCGGAAGCCTTCTCTCAAAGCACACATAACAAGAATGCACAGCCAACGCACCGATCCAGATGACAAAAGAGGAGACCTTGGATGGACAAAACCCTTGGAGGATGTCGACGAAGACAAGAATTGAAGAGACCCAGTAAATAAATGGTGTCTTCTATAAAATCCCAAGGGGACATTGTATCCACACAGGAGAGACGCTCTCCAACTGTGACAAGTGACATGCAACATGTCGCTTCCTCACTCTTTTACCATCCATAGGAAGAAATATAGGTGGGCTGGAAAGAAGTGCAGCTCTGCTCTGGAGGAGATCTCAGAAAACAGAAGGACTGATGAGCAGCAGTCTCTTACATCCACCATGCTGTCTGTGTTTGTGCAAACCTGTAAAGATTCTTTTATTTCCTAAACCATTTCATTAAAACTGAAAGATGTCTTAAATTGCAGGACAAACTTAAAAAAAGAAAAAAAACTGCTTTAGTTAGCTTCTGTGTTTCCTTGTTTTTCGTTTTTATTACAGCTCTTAATTGTCACAAAAAGACCTAGATGTGAAAGCTGTAAATGAAGCCAAAAGATATTGTTTGGTAAGATATTAGCTTTTTTTTTGTATGTTTTCAATTTGTTGGTTTGACTTATTATTTGACACATCTTTGGTAATGTTTTATCCGTTTTGTATGATTGCATTACTTAATGTTCTTTATCTGTGGATCTTGTCACAGAACTGTTTATTACCTGTGACAGGTGAAAAAGTTAAATGTTATTTAAAATTGGGTAACTCGCTCAAGGATTTCATTTAATTTAGTTCTAGTTTGAAATTTATAAGGAAGGTCTTTTTTTTTTTTATTGGTTCAACTGATAATTTCAGTTTAGTTGTCAAAAATTGGCCTAAAAATTAATGGGTTCTATGGTTGTCTTAAACGTGAACATACAGTTTGGGATTTCTTTGAAATATTTGGAACAGTTGTAAAATGTCTTAAAAATTGAAGACTGGTTTTTACACAGACTCATTACCTGTTTGAGTATTTGCTGATGCCTATTAGAGCTTGGTTCCTCTAAGGAGTGCTGAGATAAGAACATATATTGCAGTTTTTTAAATAAATCGTTTGCATTTTTTTCAACCACCCGTTTGATTTATATTTGTATTTGAAATTGTTATCTCTTTAATATAAATCAAAAATATTTTTAACTGCGTTACTCTCATATATCCTGCCTACCTTTACCCGCTGCTGAACGGGATTTTACGTTATCGCGAGATTTGCTGCCATAGGTAAGTTGCTGACCTGCTATATGAAACGTGCGTTTTTCCCTCCTTTCTAAGCTCTAACATTCATTTTATCTTGCCAAAAAAATTATATTTGTCCAGTAATGTACAACCGTTGCATCGGTCGGACAGTTTATGTTGCTTATTTTGTGTCTATAAAATAAACGGAAGTGCTAGCTAGGTGCTAGCTAAAAGTGGCTAATGCGACCTTCGGATCTTTGTTTACATAATTATTCAATGAAAACCACCGCGTGAGACGAGACAGTTATCGTCTCTCCTTTAACGACTTTTTAACCCAATTAAACGGAGCACATGTATCCAACGTTACGTGCGGCTGTTGTCATTTAGCCTAAATGTTAGCCTGGCGGTTTCTCAGCATGTGATATTTTTTATAAGCTCAGCGGCGCGTAGATCTGTCTGAGGATATTGAGTTTGATTTACAAACAGAAGCATGGAGGCTGTGAGGGGTGTTTTCCACGCTCAGCTGGCCACCGTCATGGATTCCCTGCTCGCTGCCGCCGTTTGCGAGATCGCCAAGATCTTCGAGAGCAGCCTGTGCGAACAGCAGGCGGAGCTGGTGCAGAAAGCGGAGGAGATCTCCATGCTTCGCTGCAGGCTGGAGAAGATGGAGAGGAGGTACAAAGCCAAGGAAGGGGGCACCGAGGAGGGAGAGCTGTCATCAGGAGTCAGAGAGGGCAGTCTGAGGCAGCAAACCCAGACAGGATCAGGTATGGCACATTCTATTTTATTGATCTCTCAGAGGCGTAGCCAGACATTTTTTATATGGGTGGCCAGGCAATAAACAATGTAGACTGAGGGGTGGCCGGAAGTGAATAGGTGCCAGAACCTCAGGGTCAAGTCCAAAGATAAGACTAACTATACTTTCCTACAGCCGTTGCTAACAAATAGAAGCATATATTTGAACATCAGCACTTTCTAGATGAAAGGTAAAGTTGAATCCCAGTCGGCCTCGGCTCACACTGAGTCTGGTTCTGCTGGAAGTTTCTTCCTGTTTAAAGGGAGTTTTTCCTCTCCACTGTCACTACAAGCATACTTAGTGTGAGGATTGCATTCAAGTCAATGAGTCGATGCAATCAACTGGTTTTCCTTAGATAAAAAAAAACTTTGAATCAATTTGACTGTATGATCTTGTGAACTGTAAAGTGCCTTGTGATGGCATGTGTTGTGAATTGGCACTATAGAAATAACATGAATTGGATAAAATACTTTCAGGTTTGTGTTCTGGGGCAAACATCTTTTCCATTGTCATTTCTTACCTACTTTTATCAATCATTCTGCATAACGTTGATATTTGCAAGTATTAATATCTACATAAATTGATTATTTAATATGTTTTTATTAAAATAGTAATTAATCTATGATTTTGACTGAAGACTCCTAGATGACTTGCAGAGACACATCATTTTCTCTTTACCCCATAAAACACAAAATCTAGTTCTGAAAACAGTAGGAATTCTGTACTTATCATCTTTAATGTTAGTATATTGATGTGTATAATTAATCAGTGGTTTTGTTGTCAAGAAATTATGAATTCATGAAAAAAATAGTAAGTAATATCTGAAAAATTACTGCTGCTACCATCAGTATAGAGGGAAAAAAATGGTAGGGGTGGCCAATGATTGGCTAAGGGTGGCCATGGCCACCCCTGGGCCCCCATCTAGCTCCACCTCTGCTCTAGACCACACTGTGAGGATGTTGGCTGACAGTCTGAACAAATAGCCCAGTAAGCTACAATCTTAGTCCCTCATTAAATTTAAGAAACAAATTGGATCTATAAGGCATGTTGCAGTTTGGTTATATGATAGGTGTGGTTGGTGACCTGTGTCTGGGTTTAAAGAATTTCCGTGCACTGCCAGTCAGCTAGCAGAAAAAGGATCATGCCTCTAATTTATTATAAATAGAAGAAACAAATCATATAGCTTTTTTAAAAAATTTAAATGAACTGAATGAACTTAAAAGCCTATTTTTATAATCATCCAAAAAATTTAAGACAGCTATGTATAAAGTGTAGCTTATTCATGTAAATTAGCATCTATATCAGGGGTGGGCAATTCCAGTTCCTGAGGGCCTGTATCCTGTACCTTTTAGATGTGCTTTTGGATCAACACACCTGAATCAGATAATTAGGTGATTAAAACGACTCCGGAGGAACAGACTGCATACTGACGAGGTAACTCAACCGTTTGATTCAGGTGTGTTGGACAAAGGATGGATCTAAAAGTTGCAGGATACCGGCCCCCAGGAACTGGAATTGCCCACCCCTGATCTATATGATTGTTGTTTAAGTTGACCTTATTTCAAAATTAGCTTCTGGACAAACTGCAGCTTTAATGTCTGTTAATCAGCTGCCTGCATACTGGGTTACCCAGACTAACTAACCAGTTTAAACCTGCTAGTTGATTACTGCATCACCGTTCAACTCTACTGCTCAAGAACTGCATATTTTAGATGTTCCTCTGCTCCAGCACACCCACATCAAACCGATGCTATATTTCCAGGCCTGGGCTTAACATCAATGATAAGCTAATGGTGTCATTTAGCCAAAATTCCAGCTGTTTGACCTGCATCTGAAGCACAGTACTGAGGGCTGAGTTGGACACCCCTTCACTTATGCATAAAGTGAAATGACAATAAACAGTTAAATCCACTAGTAATTTGTTTGTTTTTGATGCTCCATTTTGAAAGTTTTTGCATCAAACAAAAAACAAAACCAAATACTTCATGTTAAGAAGGTTTTAGGTACTGAACTCTGGTCAATAAAGAAGCTATACTGCAGTAATTGTTAGCCTTTCTGCTGAATGTTATTCAGTGTGACCATTTTTGGTAAACATGTCAGAGTATGCACTGAACTTTTTTTCTCTCTGCATAGTGCTGAATGGGGATAAAAATTCACCTCACTCGGAGCCAGAGGAGGAACTCCGCATGCTGAAAGAAGAGGTCACAGGGCAGGAAGGAGCCTCCATAAAGAACGAGGTCAGCTGTCTGTCTACTTCCCCATTGAAACACACACTCTACAACATGATTTTAAGTTAATGTTTTTGCCACTATAAATACAATTTTTCAAATTGTTTTTTTTTGTTTTACAGCCGGTTAGATCACGGTCTGTTACAGGCCAACCCACAGATGGTGACATTTGCATCTCCCAAGCTGGCTATGGCTCTCCCAAGCCTGATTCTGGTCTACTTCAAGCAGGAGACTGGACTGGACTGAACTCGACCCGCGGTGGTGTTTCAGGTCTGGAGAACCCGCACGGGGATAGAAATGTCTGCTCTGCTACAGCTAGCAGCAGCATTGGCAACGACCCTTCATGTTTCCAACCTGGTTTCGGGTCGGAAGAGACCAGCAATGAAGGTGACGCCTCATTTGTTTTTCTGGACCAAGAGTCTGAGAACCAGAACTCAGAGGAGGGCTCAGAAGAAAAGGAGGCAGATCTTATACCAGCCACCTCTGCTGAAGCGCCATGGCGACCAAGAGATGAGAGAGTCGCAAGAGGTCACGTCAATCACGCTCGAAGGATCACTAATGTTGCTAGCAGAGACCCGCTGCGGCCACAGTTGAACGCTCAGCTGCTCGCGGCACGACAGACAAACACTCTTAATCACCCCACGACCCCCGCTGGAGGAAACGGTCGCCCTTACTCCTGCCCGTACTGCACAAAGTGTTTCACCTACCCTTCCCATCAGCGCAGGCACCTTCTGCGGCACACTGGCGTCAGACTGCATCCCTGTCAGTTCTGTGACAAGAGCTTCCTCACGCCGTCAGAGCTCACCGTGCACACTCGCACGCATACGGGGGAGCGGCCTTTTGGCTGCGCTCAGTGCGGCAAACGCTTCGCCCGCAGCGGCAACCTGAGAGCCCACCAGCGAGACGTCCATATGGGGAAGAGGCCCTTCGCTTGCATAGAGTGTGGAAAGAGATTCGCACACAGGGGAAACCTGAGGGTGCACAATCACAGAGTTCATCAAGGGGATCCGTACTATACTGAGGCTCAACCGGAGCCTGACGGCAACCAGAATGCTATATAAAAACAGCTGAAGATCAAGGTTATTACGCATCACCTTTGCAGCAATTTGGAACGATTTCTGTCGTTTGTCTACGTTTGACTCTGTCAACCAATTTAGGTCAAATAGATTTGTGAATGAACAGTTATATTTATCTGGAACAAAAAGGCTGCTGATGTTAAAGAAAAATAAAAACTATTGGGATTTGTTTTCCTTTTTAAACATACTATGCTATTCATTATTTAAAGCGATTCGTCTATAAGATCACATTTGTGGATAATCGATTGGTACTACAGCTTCATCAAAAAAGTGTTTCCAGGAAGTCTCCTTAAAAAGGGAAATTCAACATAGATTTTACATAGATTAATTACACCCAGGGTGAATATACAATTCTCCTATTTTATTCTGTCTTGATGGTCGTGGCTTACAGCTAATAAACCCATATTCAGTTCCTCATATTATTAGACAATCAAAAGAGCTTAATAAACCCATTTATGTCCGGCCATGTTAATGGAAGGTAAAGGTGTGGTAGAAAAAGGTGCTTATGTTAATAGATTTGCACACCCGTAAGATAACTGACTGACTTGTGCTTGAAATGTTTGCACAGACTTGGAGGGCCATGTCACCTGGCAGCATTGGTCTTTGGTTTCACAAACACAACATCTGATATTAACAAGTCAGAGCAGCTGTTTAGTGAAAGATTTTAGAGCAATATATTTTTTAAGAAGCTTCATGTAGGTTGTTATTTTAGATCTGTTAACACTGCAAGGTCTATCACAGGACTTGGTTGATCAGAAAACTGACCTGACTGAAAATTTAGATGGAATTAAAAAGTTAGAAAATGCTTCGATGTTTAAATTCCCTCAGATCGATCTGTGCTCATCTGTCTTTTCTTTGAATATAAAGAAACGCATAGCTAAAAAGAACAAAGCTCTTCTTCAGCTGAACATTCAGTGTTAGACTAGTCAGAAAAATGGTTCAAATGATTTCCTTATTTTATTTTAAGAAGTGTAAATGTAAAGCAATCACTCAGTGTGGCACAAATGCAGAGTTTGCACTCCTTTGGACTCCCTTGTTTGATCAATTCTATTAGAGCTCATGATAAAAAAAAAAGAAATAAAAAATGATTTCTCTTATCCTACATTTTCTTTATTTTTGGTTAACAGGGCACGTAATTAATAAGCAGCTGTGTAAATGTTATCACAGTTTTGTCACTCCATACCTTACATGGAGTGCACTCATTTTATTTTGATAATACTTTTCTTTCTTTTTCCAAAATCTAATAGTTAAAATTTGAATGCTACTGTTTTTTGTATGTAATAGAGCTAGAAATTATTTTCTAGATCTATTTAGGATTTATTTCTTTTCTACTTGCACCTATATTTAGAATATTTTTCATTCGCTTCATTTATCTCTCCATCTACAGGCTTGTTATATAGTCGGTATTGTTTAAAGTTAAAAATTACAAAGTAATTTTGTTTTTCATTCATCACTAAGTGATTTTATAAATGTCATTTTTTGAGCCAATTTATTTTCTTTAAAGCAGATTATTTAACTGCTCGATGAGAGTGCTTCTTTTTTAAATGATTTTAATACCAAGACATTTGCACTATCCCTTTGCAGAAAACTACACGTCAGGTTTATTTATAAACGCTCTTGTGAAATGCTTTGATGTAGCAGACCAAATGTCTGAGACTGTCTCCCTGTTTTCAAGTAAATTTTGCATCCTGGGATTTTCATCTACAATAAATAAAAATGGGCAGCGAAGTAAGTTTGTTGCAGTGTTTTTGGGAGACACTAGGGGGCAGTGCAAATACAAGCTAAGGTCTGCAGAAATGTCTCCAGGCAAATATTGTGATGAAAGTGTTGCTCTCAGCAGGTTTTTACCTTGTGTCCTACATCTGTCACTTCCTTCCCTCATACATGCACTCATGTGTCATGGAAGGTCAATAATGGATTTGTTTAAATTCACATGTTTGTTCAAATTAAAATGTGAAATGTTACTTTCTTTACCCTCACAAATGCTAACTTTTATTCACAAGTATGCAAAATGTGTAAGTTTCATTCTCATTATTGTATTTTGAAAATATGTTTTTATTTTGATTTTCTGCATACTAGAGATGCCCAATAAACATTTTGTTTTTTTCAGACTTTTAAATGTCTCATTGGGTTTTCATGGAGAACCTCGTCTTGGTTTTTGAAGAAATAATTTTGCACAAAAACAAAACAAACAGCAGAAACTATAAAGGAATTTAATTGAATGCAAGATGTTTTAATCTACCTTATGAATACCTTCTGCTCTTTGGTTGCTGTCAAGTCTTACATTTTATTTTAACAAAGGCAGAAAACTTCTGTTTTTGTAAAACTGAAACCTAAACCTTTAATATAATAATTATTTAATCTAATGTATTTTTTTCCTTATAGGCTCCCGCTCAGCTGCTGAGTCCATAGATTGCTCACAGAATGACAACATGCAGTGACCTCCCCTTCCCCCCTAAGGTCACCTGTGTTTGTGTGAAGGTCACTTCCTGCTTAGGTTATAAAAGCTGGACATTTATTGAAAATATACAGGCCAGAAGCTGTGCAATAAAGACTAACAAGACGTCTGCATGCTTCACTTTTTGCTTCAACATTTATAAATCTGACTCAGATAAGGTTTACTGTCTGCTGTTAATGTGGGCGGATTGCATTGGGAAAGCTGGAGGTTCTTGCAGACCTTTAAAGTGCACACAATTTCAGTACTGTATTTATGGCCTATTGAAAGCATAAGGTCTGATCATCATTAATTTGTGCAGGGCATGGTATCAGAATGCAGTTTGTTGCAGATTTTCCACATTTTTTAATTGTGCTTTTGAAAGGCAGATCATACCTTAATGATTTTTTTTACATTGCATGGGTTTATCTAGCTCTGCAGGCTGAAAAAATGTGAATAAGTTATTTTTATACCTCTGCATTCACCCAAAGCAGTCAGTCCATCACCCTGACATAAATAATCTGCAGGAAAAAACCCCTCCGAACTTGTCCTCTAGATGTAACATAGATTTTCTCTCAGACTTCTTTTTGTATTGTTTCAGAGACACTATACTCTATTTTAAACATATAGTGGTTGCAGGCAGATGTCGCTTGAGTAAACGTGTACAGGAGTCGAGGCTGTTTGGGATTTCGAGCTGCCCAAAGGTTGTTCATTATCCACCCAAACCAACACCTCTCCAGAGGCAGTGGTTTCATGCAAGTTGCTATTACAGTACTGAACGCCCCCCCCCCACCCAGCCCCTTAGGGGAATTATGGAGCTGTCTCCTGCTCAGGGCACTGGTTGATCCATCGTCTGCTGACTGTATTTAAGCTCTCCTTCAATGTGCTAATGGTGTAAAACTGGATGGAGGCTGCAGAGCTTTTAACTTTCGTCTTATAATGCCCTCAGCCTTTGGGAAAATGCAGATTTTATGGCTGCTGGGCTCTAAATATTGGTAATCGGTGGAAAACAGAATAATCAAGTAGGGAAAGGTTATATGTACTGCTTTAGCTTTGTGTACATGGATTCTTTGTAAAGGTTGTTAGATTCAGTTGTGTCTCCTGGTCTCATAATTTGTTGGCTGACAGGTTGAGGCAGAGGGCAGGGTGGAAACATGTTATCCTCCTCCCTCACATTTCCGAATGTGTGCGTGCATGAGAAGCAGCATGTTTGAGTTGGTGTTCTCCATAGGCTGCTTGTGGGTTGCTAAGAAACCATGCGTCTGCACGGTGGAGAGGGGGGGTGGGAGGCAGCAGGTCAACAGAGGCAGACGCAAGCGATGCAGGGTCTGATTGGACGCAGCTTATTGTCTGTGATAAATGATGGAGATCATTATCATGTTGACGAGGTGTAGGCCTGAATCGTGATGGGATCTGCCATTTGGCCCTTTATGGAGCATGAAGTCTATTTATCTGGTTCAGGGTCTGCCTGCTCTGCTCTCCTTGTTCTACAAGGTGAAGAAGCAGTAAAAGAAACTAATAAAACATGGCTAAATCAATAGGATATATATACTATAAGTAATGTATCTCATTGTTCACTAGTAAGACTGATCGCATCTCATTTTTATAAAGAAAAATAAAAGGCATTAGAAATTATTAACAGAATAGAAAAGAACATCCATTTATTGTCCCACATTGGGGAAATTTTGGTGTTTACAGCAGTAAAAAGATTATAGAAAAAATGGTCACACAAATATGGAAAAATGTATAAGTTTAACATAACATAACAGTGAAGAGTTAAAAGATAAACAAAAGTTGTTAATTCACTGTTCAAAGCAAATGCGTTTGAAATCAAAACACTATCATTTTGAGTTTGTGTTGTTTCCTGGTCTTCCTCATAACCTCATAGACCTATTATTTAACAATAAAAGGCTATTTCTGTTAATTTGTCAAATTTTACTGTGCTTCTGTAGTTTTTTTTCTTTGTAATAAAAGAGTAAAGAATAATCAGACATTGAAAGTTTTTTTTTCCAGTTTTTTTTAACATAAATAATCCAGTTTTGGTTCAATAAAGGCACATTTAATTTTATCTTAGACATTTTGTTTCTGAAGGCTTTAATCCGATGTTATAATTAGAAGAATGTGTGATATTAAGAAATATAATAAGTTATTAACAATTGATAAACAAAGCTTCATGACATTTAACAGTATGAATTCTACAGCCATTATTTGTTGCTGTAGCAGATACGCAAAAACTGGTGGTGTCTGGTCAGTCGAGGTTTTTCAGCAGCTCTATCGAACTCTGATCAGTCATTTTTCTATGACAGGATTAATAATATCTGTCTCTACGAAGGCAGATTTTTGCTAAACATTCTATCTAAAAGTCACCACGGTGTTCCACCATCTGCATGAGGAAGCCGGGGTGGGGGAACAAAAGCAGGTCAGAGGCAATGTGGTGCGAAGGGTCCAAGTCAGGGATACTGTTGGTCATGCTGACAGTCACCATGGTAACTGGAAGGTCCTTGGCCAAGTCTTCACACCCGAACGGCTTGGTCCCTGCATGTGACAGACCGTAACCACACAGGACAGTCCTGTCAGGGTCATGACGGGTTAACAAGGGCAAGCTGAGGATTTAATGTACAGCAAAGCGGCTGCATGAAAGGGGGGTGATAGAAATGCTTACAGGAGTTATTATTAAGTTGTTTTTTGTATGGCTTATTTGTTTTATATAATTTTTTTTACTTATTTTTTATTGCTGTTTTTAAACAATTTCATTTGCTCTATAAATAAAGTGGAGCTGATAAAGAAGTCAACAAGGTCGGGAAGTTTGTTTGGAATAATTGTGAAAAGCCGAAAGCGGTATTTGCTCTTCAACATTAGGTCCAAGAAATAAACAAGATAACCTAATTTTCAAGTCAATGGCTCAGAATGACTTTTTCTGTCCCTTTATTGGCTGTTATTTATCAAGGCACCTTCTCTTGTCACATATTTATTGTTTTTGGTGAAAATAAAAGCACAGTGACTCCATTTAACCTAATGGATTAATTTCTCACAAGAGGAAAAAAATGATTATGATCGTTCAGGATACATTTTACAGCAGCACTTTCCCAATGACAAAATAAAGATAAACAGTATATTACCTGAAAGTTAATACTACCTTTATATAGATAAAAGTAACTAATGTGTAAGCCTAAAAGATTCATGATATTTGAATCATTTTTAGAAAGTTCATTTGTAATAGCTTCTCTATCATGATGAGAAACCGATATCAACTGGATTTTATTGGTGATTGTGAAAAAGGCTTCAATACATGGGTGGGCTTTGCGGTTCAAGCAGAGCATTGACTTTAGTGTCAAACTATTGGGTAATTCAGCTGTACCAACTGCAAAGTGAAATGTCAATGGAAGTATGCAGATACACAAAAAGGTTAAAAAAAATGTGCTACTGTATATTAAGGAAAATTTTGCAAAAAAGGAAAGAACATGTTTGTATTCATGCATAAAAACAAAAGAAAACAAAGAATAGTGGAAAAGTTGTATAAAAATAAGGAAAGATATAAACTGATAATACACCGGCTTGGAAGAAGAATCTGTGATGATGCTCCTTTGTGCACCTAGGATGCAGCAGTCTGTCATTGAGGAAACTCTCCAGCTCACCAACA